GGTGAGGGGGACGCACATAAACCCAGTTCAGGGAAAAAAAAAAAAAAAAAAAACCATCACCTCTCCGCCAGTGACTCGGGAAACGCAGAGGTGGCGAGATCCGAGTCCGGTCCAACCAAGCTAGAGCCAATTAATTTTAAATCCTGAAGAATTATTCAGATTAAAATGTACAGAAGTTTCATTCTCCTATGCCTACGTGAGCTCAAAGTCGTTTCCCTTTAAGAGCTCCTTTTCTTTTAAAGTTGAATTTTAGGCAGTGAGGACTCTTACACTAGGGGGCAGACAGATACTGTACTTGCTCCAATCTTAAGCAATTTTTTCCCTCCCAGCATATGCTCTGATTTAGCACTGTAAATTTTTCAGAGGACCCAACTCTGACAGCCCCTGGTGATTTTCAAAGTACCACAAGCCAGTGGTTAAAAATTGCATTGACTTGGAAGTTCAGAGGGACACAATGGAAGCCCCTTTCCCTATTCATGGAGCTCCAGTGTGGTGGAAGAGAAAAACACACACGGACTAGATTGAGGGAAAGGAGGAATTCAATGAATCCTGGTGGACAGAACTGGTTTCTACTGAGTTCAGAGTTAAACTCGGCATTTGCTGGGGTCTGTATTCATATTGTGATTTAATTTGTGGAGAATTACAGCCATCAGGCCACTTTCTGCAAGAAAATCATATTCCTGGGTGGGTTTACTTTTCTTTTTTCTTTTTTTTTCACCAGAGTAAAACAAATGTTTTTCCAACTTTCTCCAGCTAAATTAAAGCTTGCCATTCCTCTCATTAAAATAAATTTACATCTACAATAAAAGACTGGGCTGGATTTTTTTTTTGAACAGTAACGACATATTGATATTTATCTGTTAGTCTTAAAGCTGTTTATTCAAGGGAAATGAGCATCTCTGAAGAAGACATTTTAAAATATTTCCCCTCTTTTTTTTTTCTCAGTCTGCAGTCCTTTCTCTTCTTCTCTGCAGTAAAATTAACTATAATTGATAGGGTCATTTATTTATTTATTTGGATTTTTTGATAGCATCCCCATAACTGAATGAATCCTAAAATGCAGAGTGAAACACCTCTGACTTTCATGGCAGCCCTGTGGTCGTGTGCTTTAGCAGGCTTCAGTTCTGTAAGAAATTGGGAAATTCTTCATTTTAAAGCTGAGACCATCAGAGCGCACTTCAAATACTAAAAATCTCTAAGTGTACTGTGGAGGCTCTTCCTCCTCAAAAATTTCCCACTTCATGTCTGTAAAAGGTGATCTTGCTATGGAAGTGTCTGCACTCAAGAGGCGAGATTAAGATTTCCCTACAATCAATTATTCCCATCTTCTATGAAATTGAGATGGGTATGCCCATTAGATTTCCTATTTCAACACAGCCCCGCCACATCTCTGTTGAGTTTGCCCCTAGTCTACTGACATTTGTAGCATTAGGCAATCCCTTGAATCATAGGGGTTGAAAGGCAAGAAAAAAAAAAAAAACCTTCTCTGAAATGATTTCTTTTCCATCCTTCTGTCCTCTTTAAGAGAAAGTTATATTGTGTCTCTAATCAACCTGAAATTCTCAGCCTGCCTTCTCTCTGTGGCAATCTCATTACACACCAGGTTTATGATAGTTCAGTGTCCACTATAGTTGGGTTGTGGGTTTTGTTTTTTTTTTTACAACTTTCAAATAATCCCAGCACCTGCAGCTTTAGTGAAATACGTGATTTCAGCGGAAAAGGGGTGAGGGCTAAGAAGCTTTCAGGAATGAAGTGTAAGGGGGGGGGTTTCCTCCTTCCCTAAAAACTAGCCCCTAGTCTGTCTACAACTTCACTTAGTGCCTACCTTGGATTCTGCCTGTGTAAAGGGTACTGAATGCAAAGTGCACACCAGCACAGGTCAATTATATGTTTAGTTTATGGGTTTTTTTTAATCTTTCATCTCGTCGATTTTTTTGAACTATCAAGGATGCTTTCCTGTGGTCATTAATTTACCCTTTATATGTGTCCATGTTTCCTGAAGCTTAGCGTGTTTTATGTCAAATATTTTAATTGTTCATAAACCTGGTTGGCTTACCAGTTTACGGCTTTTCTCGGTTCAAAAATGTGTATGATGGCGTCAGAATTTTGTTCCATAAATGTTGAATAATCACAATTCACTAACTTCTCATAATCAAACCGAAAGGTTACTGCGTTGAAATATAGTGTATTCTATGGGGGCAATTCTAGATGTTTGATGTTTAAAACCAAACACCCTGGAATTCAGAGACACATCCATGTTGATGATTTTAGCACATTGAGCAGAATGGCACAGGCTATGAAGTTGTTCTTATTGCAGTGAATCTCTTGAGATAGACTATGGCTTGTGTGTGGTTTTTGTGAGTTGTACTTGGTATTATTCCCAATTTGGAGCAGAATTTCTGGTTGTGTTTTAATGACTATATGGATGCTTAAAAGGAACTCGAGGAACAATGAAGTTCGTACTCAACTGGTCCATGACCTAGAAGCACAGTCACTGAAGTCTTTGTCTGTGTACATTGACAAATGTGCATCTGATACATGTGCGCTTACATGTGTGTACAGAGGGTATGCACAGGGGAGGTTGGCAGGCTGCTTCCGCTTGTCCATCAGCGGGCAGAACGGTCTATTCACCTCTCTCCACGATTGGGTGTGTGGCAGGACGTTGGCTTGTGAGTTAGCTATAACTAATGAGAGAGAATAAAGTTGAGGAAAATTGATTTTAATTGCGTCATGACAATGAGATGAAGTCTACTTGTGCTTCTCAGCATCCGAGAAGCTTTATTTGAGCAATTAAAATGTCAGGCCACATACCTGTGAAATGTTAACCCTACAAGGAAAAGATAGACGCTAAACGACTTTTTTTTCCCTCGAAAAGGGAAAAAAGAAATAAGCCACAAAACCAAGCAAGTGATCAGAGTTGATAAAGAGAAGGGTCTACCATCACCCGGATTTGACCAAATCTTTCGTTTGGTAAATGCCTCCAAGCTCGGTTCGCGGCACCTTCCTGCCCCCCCCCCCCACCCCTTACCCCCCTGCAAAGAAACCGGGGAACTTTTCTCTTTCTCTGGCACTGTGGGCACAAAGATGCGCCTGGAGTCCCGGGTGGTGCGCGAGCGACGGATTTCGTGGCATCGCCAAGTTGCGGGAGGCGAAGTCCTCGACTTCATCCAAAGCCTCTCGCGGAGCCTTTAAGAGGCGTTGTGTGTGCGTGCCGCGCTCCTCTCCCCGCTGGGGCGGAAACCTCCGGTGCGGGGTGCGGAGAGCTCGGGGGCCGCGTGCCCGGGGCCGGCCCGGGCCCATCCCCCGCCTGGCGGTGGTGGCGGCGCGGCCGCCCCCTCCCCGCCCCCCTTGGCCCCCCGCGCCGCGGCCGCGACGCCGCTCGCGCTAGGACCGGGCTGAGCCCGCGGCCGCCATGGCGGGGCCGCCGCGCTCCGGCCAATGACGACGAGGGGGCGGCGCGCGCGCGCCTGGCCAGGCCAACCCCGGCTGCTGCCTTATAAGGCGCGCCGTCACCATGGCAACGTGCGCTAAGTTGCAGCAGTCGTGTCAAAGTTCACTATATAGAGAGCTCAGTGAGCTGATCGCGGAGAAGCCACTTCTGCCAGCCCCGGCGCCTATAAATCGCATTCCCTCCCGCGCCCCCCTTTTTAGCATATTTGATCACTTTGATTCTCTGTTCTTTTCTCTCCGCGGTGTGTGTGTGCGTGCGCGCGTGTGTGTTTTCTTCTCCTCCTCCTCCTCTCCCCGAGTTGCCTCCTTTCTCCGGGTGCCGTGCTGCCTTTTTTCCTTCTTTCATTCTTTCTCTCCGTCTTTTTCTCCCCCCTCTGCGCACGAAGGATGTGCTTCTAGGTGGTGATCTGCCCTCCTCTCTCTCTTTTATCATTTCTCCCCCGCCGCCGGCGAGTTGACTCTTTCCCTATGTGTGTGAGGCGGCGGCGGCAGCAGCAGCAGCAGCGGCTCCGGCGGCGGCAGCAGCGGCAGCAGCGGCTTCAGCGGCGGCGGCGGCGCTAGACGCGGCGGCTCCGGGCCCGACCCGGCAGCTTCGGCGGCGGCGGCGGCGGCGGCTCCTGCGGCGGCGGCGGCCCGGGCGGCCCGCAGGG